ACCACGAAACTTTACATTAATCGTGACTCTTCATCGTTAGAGGATTGAGTACTAAAAACAATTATAAAATGGTATAAAACAATAAATTTGAAGTGGATTGATCCACCAGGCTAGGCTATTCTAAATGGATTAAATATATAAATATGGGCTTCATTTTTTATTTTTTATTTTTTTGTAAAAAGTTATAAGATAGGTTCTTTAAAAATTATTGGGAAATCTCCATAAAAGTCATAATATTTTGGTTCAGTTTATGCAAAGTCCTAAATTTTATTTTGTTAACAAAAAAATCTCGGTTACCTAATAAAAAATTCAAATCAACCCTCTTTTACCGACAAACTATTTTTTACTTAGTTAACTTCAGAAAAATCTCATTATTTGGCACAGTTTATGAAAAAGTCATAATTTTTTTTATTTCAACTCTTTTACCCTTTTACTTAAAAGCTGGAATTTTCTTGGTTGAAATTACGAATAAGAATAAACGTCATTAAGCTCCATACAATTATGGATTAAAGACCTCCATACCAAATTATTTGCCACAAAACAATGACTTTAGCATCATTTTGAACTCATCATCGTCCATATAATCTATTTTTCATACAAATTTATGTTACATGTATCATAAGATATTCAAATTATGTATCGAACATCTTAGTACAATCTACCTAAAAGTAAGTTAAAGGAAAACCAACTGTTTTGTTCATATAAGAAACCATTGACTGATGACAAATCAATCAATACACTAGTAGGTTAAGTGAGGTTGTACGAATTATAGAGAAGAATATGAGTTTTATCCTTAGATCTTAATCATATATGAACAATTCCTCCATGGATCAATTAATTTATGGATCAATTACTATATGAACATAACAATTTATCCATGGATTAATTATTATATGAACATAACAATTCATCCATGAATCAATTACTTAACGATTCCTTCATGGATCAATTACTTTATGTTATTAAAGTAATTGATCCATGGAGGAATTGTTCATATATATGCTTAAGATTTAAGGATAAAACTCATATTCTTCTATATAATCTGTACAGTCTCACCTAACCTACCATTGTTTTGATTAGTTTGTCATTAGTCAATGGTTTCTTATATGAACATAACAGTTGATTTTCCTTTAACCTACTTTTAGGTTGATTGTACTAAGGTGTTCAACACATAATTAGAATATCTCATAATACTTGTAACATAAATTTGTATGGAAAATGGATTATATAAACGATGATGAGTTCGAATGATGCTATGGTCATTGTTTTGTGGCAAATAATTGGTTATCGATGTCTTTTTTTGGAAAGGGAACTTCCCTAACGAGGGTTTCCGGACCAGCTTTCACGACCGACTAATCCCCCGCTGCAAACATGAGGCTTTGCCTCATGCCCTGGAGTCACTGCAGGCGAACTTCCATGGCCACAAGGGCTGAGTGGTGCCAGGATTTGAACATGGGTCAATAGGTTATCCACCATATCTTCCACATGCCTTACCAAGTCACCACAACCAAAGTTGGTTATCGATGTCTTTAATCCTTAGTTTTATAGATTTTAATGATGTTTATTCATATTCATAATTTTAACCAAGAAGTTTTCAACTTTTTAGTGAAAGGTAAAAGAGTTGAAAAAAAATAGGACCTTTTATAAACTGTGTCAAATAATGAGACTTTTCTGAAGTTAACCGGGTAAAAAATAGTTTGCCGGTAAAAAATGGTTGATTTGAATTTTTTATCCGGTAGTCGAGAATTTTTTGTTAACAAAATAAAATTTGGGACTTTTGCATAAACTGACCCAAAATATTATGATTTTTTTTGGAGATTTCCCAAAAATTATTACATAGGTCCTAGTTTTTTCATATATACCTTATACTATTATTAAGAAAAATAGGTGGCTCCTAAAACCCACCTTGAATCTACATGGCTACGTGCCTATGCCGAATATGTTGTCCTCATGTTGATACAATTAGTAAATTGTATTCATCATCATAAAACCATCAAGCTTAATGATCTCTAATGTTAAACTCTTAAAGGGGAAACATGTATGCAATAAATAACAAAAATAATCCTTTGGTTATTCATCATTTGTTCTATTTTCAGTTATTACCCCCCACCCATGGTGTGACAAAATAAGTAATCAGTTAAAAAAATTAGATAGTTAAAAAAATTAAATAAGTAATCAGTTAAAAAGAAAATTAGGGTTTTTTCTGCTCAGATTGTTTGAGATCTAATGTAAGATAATGTTTAAGATCTAGATTTCTATGGTTTTGATCACGTACATCTCGAAAAAATTCCTACCTCAGAAAGTATTGCATCAGCTTCAAGTTAGCCAAGCCTAAGTGCTACCTATAAGGTTTTCGAGCTCATAACTAGCTCTGTGATAACTTGAATTCTTATTTTAATTTTAGCATGAATTTGATTTTAGTTTTAGCATCTTTAATATTATTTTTGCATTAAAGTGTTAGATTTATTGTTTTGAATATTTTTACTTGTTTAAACGAATTTTATGTAGATTTATATGAGCAAGATAATAGCTTTGAGCACCATTAAAACCACATCGAAAGCCTTCCAACCATGATTGCAATCCTGTAGTAAGATCTGTAATCGAGCAGAAAAATGAAGCGATAGAAATGAATTTTCGGATTTTTGGCAGCATTGCGTAATCTTCTTCAACTGCTCATAGGGGAAAACATTGTTGGGTTGAGTTGAAATTTTACAAGTGTCTTCTCAACTCATTGATTTTGAATCTGACCAAAAAATGAAATGCATTTGGACGACGTTTGATATGGGCTTTTGCCTGAAGAACATCATTCCACCAGCCCATTAGCATAACTTTTGACCCGATTTGCAAGTGAAGCCCGTTTGTCTTGTGTGTTGGAGTATGACAAGGAAAAAATGCACGCATTTCATAAGAAAAAATTACATCATCACACAAAACACACATAGACACACAGGCATCACACAAAACACACAGACACATAGAAAGGAGGGTAACAACTCAAGAAAGAGAGGATCTATTTCTTCTTTGTATCTTTCCTTTCTTTTTTTTTTCTGTTCTTTATGTTTGGAACATTACTATCATGATTTTACCATATTGTTTTTTAATGATTCATTTCCTTTTAGATTAAGCTAATTTTTGTATTAACACTTTAATTATAAATGAAGTTTTTGGAGCAACAAGAAATTACAATTTGAAGAAGTTTTTATCATCTTCGTTTTGCAATCGGTATTTTGTATAACATGTTTATCTTTTTATTATTATTATTATGAGTAGTTAATTTGTATTTTCAATATTGGATGAGTCAATTGAATAATTACTTGATTAAGAGTAATTTTATATGAGTTTTGATTGGTTTTCCATGTATGCAACTTCTATTTGAATTTCCAAATTATTCTTGTGTTTTTATTTTATGAGATTAAATACCTGAATGGAATTAGTTAGTTATTTACGTAATTACGCAATAGATTATCAAAACAGTTAGTAACAAATGGTTTTGATGTATATTTTCATCTCATTTTTAAATCATGAAGTTGTGCTCTCCAAAGTAGAAGTATAAGGCTTTGACTTCTTTTAGATTTGGTGATTCTTAAATAATAATGTGGGTCAACTTTCATGAACTAAATGCTTATTTGACTCGTGACTTTGATTAATAAGGTGTTAAGAGCTTCCCTAACAACCATGTTATTTTATAAAAAAATCTAAGTGACTTAAGCTTTTGTGTTGCTATAGCCAAATTGGAATTTATCAAACTCATTGCACCACAAAATTGTGATGATTAGTCAACTAATTGAACTTGCTATTGAACTTTGATTAATATTGAACCTTTTTTTTTATAGATTTTATACTTTGTATTTTTGTCATTTATTATAAATTAGTTTTATCACATTTAGCGTTATGAGAAAAAAAATATCTTTATCATTTTATATTTTGTTTTGTATAAAAATGCATAAAATTGATTTGAGTCAATCCATGTGAATTCGATCCCTGTTACTACTCCTACAAATTCGTTTTTGTGTTGTGTAGTTTATAGGTTTTTTATTTGGTAGCATCGACAACCACCACTCCGCAATCCACACTTCCGCAGTCAATCTGATTTTGCAAGGCAACCTGATTCTTCAAGCCGTGTTTATTCAACAAGGCAAGCTGATTCTGAAAGCCGAGATGTTTTTGCAAGTCGAACTGATTCAAGAGGGAGTTGCAAGATTATCGAGAGTCGTCAATGTTGTTCTTGCACTAGTACCAAGTACAACTGTAAGGCCATGTTTCCTCTCTTTTTTACCCTCATTAAGTGATGTATTGATTAATGATGTTTAAAATACTATTTTGAGCTAGTGGAAATATCACTGTAAACGAGCCGAACTGAGCTTGTGTTTGGGTAGTCTGAATATTGACTACTCTCGGTCAACCAAGTAATGTGTAACAAGTGTTACAACATTGCTAGAAATTGAGCCCTTCGGATTGTACAAAGTTGTTTTTTTATTACATTTCTCAATTAACCTCCTGATTTCTGTTGCATCATCCTAATGTCCAAATTGACCAATTTATCGTCATGTGCATTGCATATTATGAGAGTTAATAAGAAGCATTCTAAGTAGTTGTTGCATGTTTGATGACCTCTAAATAGAACCATTTAGATACATATGATGAGAGTTAATAAGAAGCATTCTAAGTAGTTGTTGCATGTTTGATGACCTCTAAATAGAACCATTTAGATACGACCTTTGAATCAATCAACATTGACCACATCTAAGAAACCTCTAAATGGTTAAGAAAACCTATCTTCTCTTAACCATTAAGAGGTTCAAATCATTCGATACTAAATTATTTTGTTTTATCAAACTCTTAAAGCTTGATAATGCCAGGGACCATGAGTGAAACAAAAAAAGAACTTAAAAACTCATATGAAATTAAAATAGATTAAATTGACATCAAAAATCATTTCTACACACTAATTTTATATCACAAACGTAGAAATAAATTACAAAAAGGCAAATCTTGATTAAACCTTCTTCGATTCTTGTGCATATCTGGTCAACCTTAGACCAATGATTTCGATCGATAAGTGATAGACAATTCAACTGCCACCACCTCATCATTTCACGGTGGTTGCAGTGGTGGCGGTGATGGTGAGAGAAGAGGTAAACCTTGAGACGACTAAATGATCGCCGGTCAAACCTTTAGCGGCGGCTATGGCATCCAGGCGGCTCCAGTTTGACTGTCGCTTTGCGACGCTCTCTTTCTCCTTCGTTTCATCTTCCCGATACCTGACCTGGCACTCCTCGAACAGTGTCTGATCGGCGTCGGAAAATAGTTTCCTGACATTTACAGTCAGACTTTGAACGGCTTGATTCCAGTGACACCGTGTGTTTTTCTCTAATGCCGGAAAGATAATCGGCAAAATCACTTTCCGATTTTGACTTATTAGATTCCTTATATGCTCGTTGTTCCACATGAACAACGCACGCTCTGCCACCTGTCACACCACCGGAAAATTCGTCATATAAATTTTGCGATTTACCGGAAATAGAGAAGACATCGGGATGTGCGTTACCTGGAAATGAGAGCTATTAAGGCAGTGGCCGATCTGCCGGAATAAAGGAACCATGCACCGTTCAAACTCTGCCGACTTGGTGGCTTCTAGAATCTCCTCCAATTCGCTAAGATAAATGACTTCTTTTGAACTATTGGTCACTGGCCAATACTTGAGTAATCCTCGAATCACCGTGTCTGCAAGCTTGAAATCTTTCTCGATGAACTGACCAACACAATACGAGAGTTGCTGATGATACGTGGATAAACATCGGGGCTTGTGGAGGGGGATTAAGACATGAGCGAGAAAAAGCTTATGCTCTTCCTTCAATGGCAGAGCAAATCCGTTGATTATACTCCCCAAAATCTCGAGCAATTCGGCTATTCCGTTGTGTTTTTCTGATTCAAAAATGAAAAGGTAGAAGATGTTGTTGATTGCGTTCCTGATGAACGGACGATGTGCCATGAACTTTCCGTAAATCCGGTGGATGATTGTCTTCAAATACTCCCGTTCTCTTTGATCTTCAGAATCGAAGAGATCAAGCAATCTTAAAACAAAGGAATGATCTATATATTGTTTTGTAAGCTTAGGATCTGTTTCGGGAGAAGCCACAAATCTAAGAAGGAATTCATACACAACTTGAAGATGCGGCCATGATGGATCCATTCTGAATTCATCGTCTTCTTGATCGTAAACATCTAGCAGTTTGCTTTCATGAGTAGTAGTATCAGGGAGAGATCGAAACAGATTTGCAGACACCATTTTCGTGATTTCCTGCACTGTAACTTCGTTGAATTTTGAGGAAACTGATGAGACATAATCAACAAGCTCGAGTAGAGTCTGTTTCTTCACATCCTTTTCTTTTGAATTCTTCAACGGATCGCTGAAATCGAACACTACACAACACATATTCAACTTTTTGATGAATAAATTGTGTTTCTCTGAACTTGATACTACTCGAAAACTAGGTAACGCTTCATAAGAACCATGATCCGATACCTGCACCACTTGAATGGCTGCAACTGTACCTGATTTCTTACCATGATTTAACTTAACAGTTGAATTACGAGTTTCATTATTCGATTTAGACAAAGATGATGAATTGCTTTTACTCGAACTCATGGCAACCAAATCCGTTTCGTTGTTTCCTTCATTATTGTGTGAGGATTTGGAAGATGGCTTCCTCGGAAGCTTATTTAGTATTTGCTTAATCATATCCCCCACAAAAACCCTAATCCCGAAACTTGTTAAACCTCTTTTATTCCCAATCAATCAAAGCTTCAACCTCGAAACATCCCAAACCGCATTCGTTTCTAGAATCTATTAAGCCAATTCATATTTGAAAACCCTAACAAGAATCAGTTAAGCTCGTACCTTAAAGTCTGTAAGAGTCGAAGTGGATTGACTTTTGGAGTGCAATCGGATCATGTTGAGGTTCGAATCAGAAGAGAGAAAGCGGCACCTGGAGGTTATGAGTGCAATGATGAGAAGAAGCTTGATAATTTAATGGAAGATTTGGTAAGCGATTATGAAGAACCCTAGAGGAAAGAGGGGAAAAGAGAGTTCTGTGTGATTTCCATTTTGAATTCAAATCAAAATTCGTGTGGAGAGAGAAACAATGGTGTGGACTGAACGAAGACAAAGAAGGATATGGGATTAACGATAAACATTAACAGTAACATTATGTTTTAAATGTAAAATGACAAAAAGGGGAAAAAAAATCCAAAATGGTGTTCTTGTTATAGAATAGCATCTTTTAAACAAATATTATAATGTAATAACTAGTTTTATAAAATAGATGTTTTCAGTTCCTTTTTGTTGAAATCACATAGTTTCATAAAATAATTATTTTATTTTGTAAAATTGTAATTTCAGTTCAATAAAAAAAAAATCAGAAATTATATATGGCTTTTCTGGCAGAGGGCAGGAATCATAAGCAAGTTTGAGGATTGTTTGTTTAAAGAGTAAATTACACGAATCGTCCTTATGGTTTGCGGTAATTTGCACGTTTGGTCTCTAACTTATTTTTAACTCGAGAGGTCCCTACTATTTGTTTTTGTTATGCGTTTGGTCCCTACTGTTTGTTTTTGTTACGCGTTTAGTCCCTGTCTTACCTAAAAAACTATTATTTAAATAGGAAATAATTGTGGGGTAGGTAAGGTAAGGTGAGTGAGGTGAGGTTGGGGATGTGTTTATTTAAATAGATTAAAAAATCAATAGCAAAATAGTATTTTTAGGTAAGACAGGGACCAAGTGCGTAACAAAAACAAACAGTAGGGACCTTCCGAGTTAAAAAAATAAATTAGGGACCAAACGCGTAAACTACTCTAAACCATAGGGATCATTCGTTTAATTTACTCTTGTTTAAAATAACGTTTTTTTCCACAAAAGTCATTATATATATATATATATATACAATTTTGTTTTGTTTTAGCCGCAACTTTATTTTATGTTTCTTATTTGTCGTTGTATTTTAGAAAACGTTTCATTTATGGGCCCTTGGCTGGTCACCAACAGATTATAATGACGTGTCGGTTTCGTGTTTTTCTTAGTTTGCATTTAGCCTTAACATCTACGTATGATTTTGCATTTAGCCCCAACATTTTTTTGTTCCCCATTTGCCATTATTTTTTAGAAAAAAATTCATTTTAGCCATTAGCCAGTCACGAATAAGTATTTTAAAACATAATAACTTGAATTGAAAAAGAAAAAAACGAAGGCACAAGTTGAAACTATGACTTCTTCTTGAGGGCGGGACGTGTTAGCCAGTAAGTCAATTGCTCTCTTTTTTATATTATCAGTGTTTGTTGTATTTAATGTACACATGTATTTTAAAATGAAGGAAAAAGACTTAGTGTAAGGTTCAAGTCCGAAACATCTAATAAACGATGTGACATGTTAATCTTTGAGCCAATAAATAATCGAAACTTTGACTTCTTCTTGAGGGGTGAAGCGTGTTAGCTAGTAAGTTAATGGATCTTTTTTTGTATTATCGGTGTTTCTTGTATTTAATGTACACATGCATTTTAAAATAAAGGAAAATGACCTAGTGTAAGTCTTGAGTCCTGTTGGTGACCGGCCAAGGGCCTAAAAATAAAACGCTTTCTAAAATATAATAGTAAATGAGGAACAAAAAATAAAGTTGGGATTAAAACAGAACAATGTTGTATATATAATGGCTTTTGTGGCATAAACCCTTAAAACAACATATGTTTTTTATTTTTGTAAAGTAGTTTATTAGTTTATGTATAATGTTTGCAAAAAATATTGAATAAGTTAACATGTTTTTCAGTATCAAAATAAACTAATTTGTGTGATACTAATAACGTAACACAATACCCTAAGGTTATGTGGTATAGAGATGATTCCACGCGTGAAATCCGACCTGGCAAGTTGTCCCTACGTATGAACACCGACACCAAGGTCGTTGTCACACCGTCAAACCGGAACGGCGGAAACGTTTGGGGGCGGAGGACGTCATATGTAGTATCACAACGCATGCATCATAGTAATCAAAGTAACAAACGACCATTGTATTAATATTAAAGTGTTTACAAAGTATGCGATTCACAAAAGATTGACTCCAAAAGTAAATAACAAAACAAGACATGAAGCTGCTATACTCCATCTTCTGAATCCCAGTGCGCGTACCTGTCTACTAGTTTCCTGAGAATACAAGTTATTTTGAAAGAGTAGATCAACATTTAAGCTGGTGAGTTCATAAGTATTTTAGTTATGAAAAGTAAACTGTAAGTTCTTTAGAAAAGTTTGCATGTTCCTCCAGAAAATCCTATATTTCTCTGATGTGGTGAATGATAAGTAAAAATGACTCTACAATTCCTTCTATGAGTACTAAATGGATACAAGTTATATACAATCCAGAGTAAACAGACAATCGATTGTGTGAATCTGCCCTAAGCCCACAACTAAACACGGAACAGAAAGTAAGGCGGAAAGCATACATCCCATTGTTTGTTAGATCTTCATTTTATATAACCCTGACGTATTCATTTGGTACTTACGGAGTTAACTGTAATAGTTCTTTATATTTGATGAAAACATTCTTTAAGAAAATCATATATTTCCTTTAGTAAAAATGGTAACCACAATAGTTCTTTCTATAATCACTTAGTTTATACTAGCTATATATAATCTAATATCGAACGGACAGTTAAATGTATGAATCTGCCCTAAGTCCACAACCAAACAAGGAACAGGAAATGAGGCGGAAAACACACATCCAACTGCCTGTCTGATATTAATTATATATAACCCTGATATATAAACTAAGGTATTATAGAACTAACCACTAAAGGTCCTTTAAGTTACACTGGTTTAATAAATGCGAATTAAACCTTTCATAGATAAGTTTCTAGTTTCACTTACTTAATGAACTATCCGAAAAGTATGTTTTTGAACGAGAAAACGGTATACTGAATTTGTATGTTATGACCTGACCCATACCTGTTACTCCTTATGATTACTTGGTGTATACAGGATATATATATATATATATATATATATATATATATATATATATATATATATATATATATATATATATAGCTAAGATCGAATAAATAGTAGACTGTATGAATCTGCTCTAAGCCCACAACCAAATAAGGAACAGGAAATGAAGTGGAAAGCACACATCCTACTACCTGTCGGATCCTATTAATATATATCCCTAATGTATACACTAAGGAATCATAAAGTTAGCATTATAGGCCCCCTTCTAACTGAATGTTCATATTACTAGGAAGTTATGTGGCGCTGTTCTATTTGTTAGGAAGACTACTAGAAGTAATGAAATTCTGTACTCTAAACGCCTCAGTCGATACTGTTGTGAGTTTTATATACTGCTATGTTTTATTTATTATTGTCTGGTACTTTGTAGATGTACCCTTTTTAAATAAAATCCGGTACTTTGTAGATGTACCCCATATATAACTCCGGTACTTTGTAGATGTGCCCCATATATAACCTGGTACTTTGTAGATGTGCCCCATATATAACCTGGAACTTTGTAGATGTACCCCATATATATCCTTATACCTTGTATATTATCATATTTTGTTTTAAATAATGAGTTAATGATACGTTCCCTTCATAGGTTACTGGGAGCGTAAAGTATAAGTTCGTGAATCATGATTTGTTCTTCCGTTCTAGAATATAGTATGTTCCTTCCTGTTCTTGTTATAATATGTTCCTTCATGTTCTAGTTATAGTATGAACCGAATCCCTAAACTATACCTATTATAGTTTACTAGTATGTTTGTTTTGAACTGTCCCTGATTTGTAGAAAAGACTCGATTATCTACTGAGTTATGCATGTACTTTAAAAACGGGGTTTTATAAACAACAAACTAACATCTTTTTAAAGAGTTTTTGAATTGATTTGATCACTTACAAAGCATAAGAAATCCTTAAATGTGATGGTTATCACAGGTAAATATTAACACAATAAAATTGTGTTCAACTTGTATCCCCCCCCCCCCCTTAAAAGCATTTAATAACATTTAAAAGATTGATTATAGGGGTATGAACTCACCTTATGTGGGTGATTCAATTGAAGATTCGAGTAAGGAGGATAAGTTCCACAAATGAAGTCCCGAGACACAAACGAGTCCTAAATGACATATATTGATACATATAGGCATGTAATTAATGAATCTAACTACAAAGGAGATTGGGAAACAACCTAGGATGCAAGAATAGCTCACCAAAGGAGTGTTAGAAGCAAGATAGAAGGCTTATAGAGTGTTCACGACCCAAAGGAAGGATGGTTCACGACTGGGCTTGAGTGGTTTACGGCCCACTTGAGTGGTTCACGACCCAAGTTGATGTTCACGGCCCAACTTGATGAAGAACACTTGAAGATCTTGGTGTTTTGGTGAGTGTTTGAAGATCCTCGTAAGCTTCTATGAAGTATCAAAGGAAAGGAGGTGTTTAGGAGTGAAAGATGGTGTTCTTGAACTATGATACTTGAGAGAGAATGGAATGATTTCGGCCAAGAGAAGAATAAGTGAGAAAAAAGTGGCTAAAACTCATCTATATACCATGAGTTCACGGCCGTGAACATGGTCCTTGGCCGTGAACCTCACTTGTTGAGGTTTTATGGCTCAAATGTTGTCCTAGGCTCTTGGTTCTTACGTGGTTCGCTTCCTAACACGCAACCCTTACGTATACTCGGTCTAGAAACCTATAAGTTTGACCTTAAGTTGATGTGTTTGACTTAATCCAACAAAAAATTTCGGGTTGTCACAGTCGTGTTGTGGAGTGAAGGTCTCTACAGACGAAGAGTATGATTGGTGAAAGAATGTGACCATTGAATAAGGATTCGTTGTCAATTGAAAACAAAAATTATTAATTTTAAAATTTTATACCAAACCACATTTATCTATAAATATCAACATTTTTGTACATATTTCACACTACAAACATTTTAAAAGATGAATAATTTTACCTTCTTCTTCATCCGATGATGATAATGATGATTTGTTTATTCACATGTTCATGTAAACGGCAAGTGAAATGTTGTGTCAAGAAGTCGGAAGTGTAAATGTAGAAAGGAGGACTAGAACTTTGATCAATAGGGATTGTATCGCCGCAAACGAATTTATGGTACGTGATTACTTTGCCCCTGATAGTTTATACGACCAAGAAAAATTCGAAGAACGTTTTCGTATTAATAGAAAACG